CTTAGAAGGTGAACATCCAAACCAGCTAGGCTCTCACAAGGCCAGTACATGCAGTAGGGTCAAAACTCAGTGCCATTGTCCTTGGCTTCTCAGCAGCCCTCATTGTCCACCATATTCAGAGAGTCCGGTTTTATCCCATGCATTTTCAGTCACAGTCCAGCTGGCCTTGGTGAGCTCCCAATAGATCAGCCCCACTGTCTCAGTGGGTGGGTGCACCCCTCCTGTTTTTAAAGTTAATTTATTACTGAGACTTACATTTCAGTGAAGCCATAGGAAATTTTGCTGTTTCTAGTTTTTTAACTTGCGTAAAATAAGGGGTTCGTGATACTATTACATCTGCCTAGCGTCTACTTTCCTCCCATCTCTCTTCCAGCCTCCTCTCTTCCCCTTCCACACTCTTGTTAGTCCCCTCCCTCCTCCCAGATAGGTTCCCCCTCCCATCTGCTCTCCGTCTCAGACACAGTTTTTTTTTTCTTTCAATGCTTTTTATTGGGCTATAGCTGTTACATAGTACACCGCACATGTATGAAGATACCACCTGCTAAGGTGTGGCACTCCTGCGACTCCGCCATCATGTCGACACAGCAAGCATCCCCCCAGAAGACGGCACTCTCCCCTTGTGGGTTTCCCCTTCTTTCCCGGCTCTCTGTCACTGTGGATTATATCTCCCAAATTTCATAGAAAAAACAAAACAGTATGGGGCCTTTTGAATCTGTTTTTTTTTTTTTCACTCTTGAAACATTCTGGAAGGCCCTCCTGGTTGCATCATATTTTGATACTTTGTGTCTTTCTGTCATTTTAGTAGTATTCTACTAAGCGGATGTACTGGAGTCAGATGCACTTGCTGAGAGATATTTGGAGTGTGTCCAGTTTGGGCTACTCTACAGAAAATGGTTGCAAACCCTGGTGTCTAAGCCTTGGGGACAAGCTTTTATGCTTTCTAAATAAACTCAGAACTGCTGAACCATTTATTAGGTATTATTCACATTCAACGTGTCCAATGCACAACAATGTACCCGTCACAATGACAGGACGAGGATGGGAGGTTCTGGGGGAAATTCGCATGCATTTCAGTAAGGCTCTCTAGCTCATTTACAGACAGCCATGGAAGACAGGTCTTCAGCTCTAACTGCCTTCTTTTTTGTTTTTCAAGACAGGGTTTCTCTGTAGCTTTGGAGCCTATCCTGAAACCAGCTCTTGTAGACCAAGCTGGCCTTGAAGTCACAGAGATCTGCCTGCCTCTGCCTCCCGAGTGCTTCTAACTTGCCTTCTTACATTTGGCTGACTGTCATGTTCTAGTCAGTTTTCCATGGCCAGCACATCCCGCTTTACTGGAAGGAATCTCCATGTCTCTGTATCCATGTGTGGTGATCTCTAAGTATGTCATGGCCCATGTCAACAAGACAAGGAGGAAACCATGAAACTAGCCCAGAAGGATGCTTGCTGCTCCCTCCTCTCAGCTGATCGGTAAGAACACCTAAGATGGCTCCGGTCCAGGGATTCCATTCTGATATCATCCGCCATCATACTCCCAGGATTTTATGCACATTATTCAAAATTCTCCCTTGTAATTCTCCTTTGCACTCAAATTATAAATATCAAAGTGAAGCTTCCTTGCTATCCCCATCAAACAAATGTCAAGGGCACAAGAAGGTGTGTGTGTGTGTGGAGGGGGTATAATTGGAAGGGAGTCATGGACTATATGCTGAGTCATTCCCTCGCACTGAATTTCTCAGTAGCCTGTGACTGGCAGGCAGCCTGCTCAGTATATGAGCAGAGTCCCTTAAGATATACAAAGGGATATACTGGGTGCCTCGCCTACCTCCCAGAGTGCAGTCCCCTTAGAGCAGGTTGCAATGGGGACACTGAGGTGCTGGGCCAACACAGCAGTGCGGGGAGTCAACTGCTGTCCTCACTCTCTGCTCCTTTTCTGGATTTCTTCCAGCGCTCTAGATGATATAAACACTCTCAGAATGTGCGTGTTCCAGCAAATGACCGTTTCTTGTGTTGGCTCAGGCGTGTAACGCGACAAAGATGAGAACATGGCTCTCTTGTACCTGGCTTTACAGTTGGCACACAGAGTGGCTTCGGAACAGGAGAGAACATCAAGACACTCCCTGTATGGGTGGTGTCAGACAGGAAACGGAGAAGAGCTGGACGTGAGGGTCAGCACCAAAGGTCCCTGTGCTGTTCTAATAGAGCTCCAGTGTCCTTAGGACTTGCTGTTTTCCCCAGCCGTTTCCCAAAAGCCTCGGAACAGAGCATCTCTGGAGCACGAGGAAGCAAGGCTCTCTGCTGCTAACTGCCAGGGTAGGGGTGGACTGGAATGGCCTTCAGGCCCAGGGTGCTCGTGCTATGTGACAGTTCACACATTTGAAAAGAAATGTCGGCACCATGCTGAGAGGCTCCAGGCCAACCTTCAGAGAGAAAAATTACAGCGCAGCCAGGCTCACTTCTGTTTCTGAGTTTCTGTTCAAACTTTCTCACATGGAGGAGAGGTGGCAAAGAGGACAGAACCACAGGGATGTGCAAGCTGGCCTCTCTTTTCTCCCTCCACCCTCGAGGAAGTCTGGATCCCAACAGCTTCCTTCTGCTGTGCCAACCACTGGCTTTTCTCGCGTTAGCCACTCACACAGGTGATGGCCCTCACCATCCTGTCTACTGACACATCGCTAGTTTAATGCAGTCTGTGTTCTTTATGTCCTTTGCCTCAACACATAATGCACACACACACACTCAGGGTGGGGACAGGGAGAGGGAGAGAGATGGAGAAGGAGGGATATGGAGAGAGGGAGAGAAAGAGAGAGGGAGAGAAGGGGCAATAAGCCTGTGTTTTGTTGGTCTTTGTTTTGTTGACTGGACAGTATGGTACATAGTAAACTCTTTTTATAGAGGTGGTAAATGAACAGACAAGGAGCCATGGTCCAGGCTGCCTGCTGTCTTCACAGACCTCCTTCCCCCAGATCACTGAGTCCATATTAGAAAATGGACCTGGCTCTGTTATCACAATGCCAAGTCCAGAGAATTCATCTTTAAGTCAGCAACCCACAAATAATTGTCCCTGACTCTTACTCTGTCCACAAGTGAGTGAGGTATTTGAGAAACAAAGGAGCAGAGATTCAGTGACATCCCATTCCTATGCTGCAAAGCTAGCCTTAGCTTCCTAGAGGAGATGTAGGTTGGTAGAGAGAACAAGTTTCAAAAGCAGACACAGCCAGACTTGATTCCATTTTCCTGATTTAGTACTTGCAGAATGCTGCCCAGCTTAGCTTTCTCAATGGCACAGGAGGTGCTGGTGGCATGCATGTTTTCAGGATCGCTGCCTAGCACAAAATCTGGTGCACAACGGGGCTCAAGCATATGGATTTTCCTTGCGTGCACTCCTGGGTGAGGGTCCACGGCCTCCCAGTTTGGTTGTCATGGTTTTCTTCCATGCACTTCTGGCAGCCATCACTTGTTGGCTAACATGAACCCCACTCCCACTGTCACCTCCATTTCATGGTACCCCAAAGCTGCACTTGTGTATCCTGGCACCCCAGCAGTGGGTTACATTTGTGGCCAGAGCTATGACCCATGAAACATACACAAACAAGCCTGGGAGCTTGTGCTTTCCCAAGATAGGGAGCTAATACAGCTGGTGGTGTCCTACAAGCTCCTTTCCACTTCTTCATGCCCTGAATACAAACATGGTGTCTAGAGTTACAGTACCCATCTTGCAACCTGAGGTCATTGCTAACTGATGAATGACACCAGGACAGAAAGGCAGCAGGCAGAATTTCTGAAGCTATGCTCATCACATCAGCTCTGGACAGCATGACTCCAGATGATTCCAGGAAAAGATATTTGCAAATGATCATGATCATATGTGTGTGTATATGTATATGTATGTGTGTTTATAGCTGTGTATATGTGTACATGTGTATGCATGCATACACACGTTTATATTATGCACAGGTTTTCATGTATGTATATGTAGTATGTGTACATATATGCATGTATATATACAGCGATAGTAGGAGAAAATATGAAGAGAATGAGCTTGACTGTAGGAAAATGGGAGGTCTCACCTGCTATGCCTTCCTCGAATTGTACCACAGGAAGAAGGGATGGTCAGTAAAGAAAAGATGTCCCTCTTTGTTAGCCTTCCTGTTCACATCAGAGCCCCTATCATCCTATCCCAACAGCCTGTGTATCTTTCCTTGTCTAGTCACTTGGCCAGGCCGATCACTTGACTACTGCTTGGTGAGTATCATTTTGTACTGGAGTTATTCCATTTTTAAAAGAGAGATAGTTATATTCTTAAATTCCTGATCATATAGACCCAAAGCTGCTTGTAAGCTTTGCTTAACTGCCTGTGTTGGAGGTTCTAAATATCCCTGACAGGCCCTGTTTAAGCGTTAGATAACTTAGTGGATCCAAAGACACTTCAGAACTTAAATAAAGGGGGAAATGCTCGCACTACCACTGGCAGGACAGAGCGCTGGAGATGAGCAGGGAAGAGCGCACGATAGGAGAGCGAGGCAGAGATAAGTCTCCTTCGTGACCACGGTG